TTTTAATGAACTGAGAACATGCTGGATAAATATATAGCTGCTCAGAGTCATGGATTTATTTTGAATTTTGATATAATTTGCTGACTTGAGGTACTCTTACAACCTGACCTAGATACAAATTTGTCAGTTCATATTTTCACATGCGAACAAGCTTTATGGCAGAAAGTTTGTAGCGAACCTTGAACAGTTTAATGCAATATTATTATGTTTAAGTGTTTTGTTATTGCAGTTACAGTTTTTTTGTTTGCATATTCAGAATTGAGTGTATGTGACTTTGGTAACATTTTAGTATAGGGACCAATTCTCAGCGGTTCGCAGGCCTCTGCTCACACCTCGCACACCTGTGATATTACGAGAGGGTGAGATCTCACAGCTGTGTGTGTGTGTGTGTTTTAGTATATAAAGCCCTGTGCAATTTAATGTAACCCTTTTTGCTAGTTCTTCATGCTTTAATGATTCATTATGTACCATATTCCTAAAGACCAGAGATCAAGATCCAGACATATAGACCTGTCAAAGCCCAGCAGACCGAGACCTGTTACTCCAACAACCATTTTAATGAACTGAGAACATGCTGGATAAATATATAGCTGCTCAGAGTCATGGATTTATTTTGAATTTTGATATAATTTGCTGACTTGAGGTACTCTTACAACCTGACCTAGATACAAATTTGTCAGTTCATATTTTCACATGCGAACAAGCTTTATGGCAGAAAGTTTGTAGCGAACCTTGAACAGTTTAATGCAATATTATTATGTTTAAGTGTTTTGTTATTGCAGTTACAGTTTTTTTGTTTGCATATTCAGAATTGAGTGTATGTGACTTTGGTAACATTTTAGTATAGGGACCAATTCTCACTATTACCTGTAACTAGTTGCTTATTAGCATGCCTATTATAAACACATTGGCAGTTTTTTAGTACTTACAAAGCACATATTCCACATGACCATATTCTACATTCCTAATCCTACACAATACCTATACTTAACAACTACCTTACTATAAATAAGCAGACAATTAGGATTTTATTGAGGCGAGATCTGGGCATTAAAATAAAGTGTGACCATGGTTTTTAACTAATTAATTAATTCAATGAATTTATTTAAACGGTTATTCTGAGTAATTCTGAATTTCATGGATACTGGTTATAATCTTGATCTGATTTTATAATTATAGCCAGAATATTTCATATCAAGACTTGATTTCTCTTAATTGATTCAGTTGATGCATTTGGCCAATGAATGACATGCTGTGTTTTTATATGGTTAGAGAACTAGTTCCCTTCATAAAGGTTAACAATCTATTCAAATAATATAATAATTTATTTCTGACATCGCCTTCACCACACACACCTCTGTCTTTGTCCAGCTTTCAAGTGCATTCCAAATATAGAGTGTTTGCTCTTCAGACAGATTTATCTATCACCCGCAGTATCTTTAGAGGCAGAGCTGATAGGTGAGAATGAGAGACATGTTTATAGAGAGGTGTGTTTATATTTACCCAGCATGCCCTGCTGCAGGTCAACATGTGACAAACCAAATTATGTCTGACCTTTCACTCCATGACATGCGGTGAAACTACAGCTCGTTGTGATCAGGTCTTTATCAATACAATGATGCTGTTATTCTTGGCACATATATGTGACTCTGGTCCACAAAACCAGTCTTAAGTGTCAATTTTTCAAAATTGAGATTTATACATCCTCTGAAAGCTGAATAAATAAGCTTTCCATTGATGTAAAACAAAAATGCATTTTTACATGGCAAAACAATAAATATTACAATAATTCAGTTACATGCACATACTTTTCTGTATTTTTATTTGTTAATCACTGTTGTTTGGCTTTTAATATTGTTAATTTTGTTGATGTTTTATCCATTTAGTTGGTGATCGGGTGGATAAGCTTCCTCAAGTCGTCTTGATCATTGATAGCATTCTTTAGGTCAGGTGTTCGTATCATTCATGACAACATCTGAATCATTAGTGCCCATTTGCACCAAGGATGATAACAATAATGATAAAGATACAGTTTTAAAAACTTTTCTTAATGTAAAACAATAGCAGAATCCACACCACATCTATAAAGATAATGACACTGATGATCAATATTGTGGGAATCACTTTCAAAACCTTTTTTGTTTCAGGTGATGAATGATAAAAAACAGTGAGAATCCAATATATACATTTTCCAATGTTCTTCTCATTATGCGGACAAAATATGTAAGCTTTAGTGTTTCATACAAACAAATCCTTGGTAAATATTTCGTTTAAAGAGAGCTGAAATGTAGTCATTTTTCAATAATTATTCGGACACAACAAGAATAAATGCTGTCAGAGTAAATTTAGTTAATTCTTTGGCAGATTTGTGGACTGATATGAATATGATAGGAGGGTTTTGCTCAAATTATAACCGAATAATCAGCCAGTCACATGACATTTTGTCTGTATTTTGCATTCTATGTTTAGCATTATATAATAAAATAAAAGAACATTTTTCATTTACCCAAAATGCATTGTAAGATTCAAAATACTTTTATTTATTTATTTTTTTATATACTTTGATATTTGAAGATTTAAATAAAATATACTTTCAGTCTAAATATAATTGTATATATATATATATATATATATATATATATGTGTGTGTGTGTGTGTGTGTGTGACAATACAAATACATGTAGACTGAAAGTATATTTAATTTAATTTATTTAATTCATTAATTCATATTTTATTTTATTTATAGCATATATTAAGCATATATTTTAAATACATTTTGGCCCAGATTTTTATTTCCTCCCTGCCATATGGGTTGCAATATTGTGATGGAGTATGTAGAGTAGATAAAGATACCTTTACTGTTAAACTATGTACAGTATTGTTCATTTAGCTATAAACATGTTAACAGTTCAACTACCTAATGCTTGCTATACCATTCCTTGAGTCAACAATGAGAATGCAATGCTTTATATACAACAAAATCAAGCTTGCATTTATGCAAAAGTTTGCATTGCATTACACGCAAGTGTTTGGACTTGCATAGAGTGTTTTTATAAAACTGCATTATGCAGCAGTAAATGCTCTCTTTTACAAATAAAGAGACACATTTTCAAAGTAAAATCTCAAAGCTCAAGCAAAAAAACCCAAACATACACAAAATGCTAACGTTTCGCTAAAGTATCTTCAGAAACGTCTCAAAGCCAGCAGCATTCAGAGGCGTCGTGAGATGTCCCATGGGAAAGCAAAGTACCTCAAAGTAGTATCTGTTTCACCAAGTGTTCTTAGTCAGCACACTGCTGTTGTGCCTGAGGAAAGACTTCTGAACTTTCTTACAGCGGGCGGCTAGATAGCAGCTGACCTTGCACTCAGCAAATCACTGCGCTGAGGGCTTTCTTGGTTTCGTGGCGGTTAGAGATGTATAACTCTGTGTGTGACGCAACCAGTTTCCAGCGTACATTTTCTGTCCTCTCTGAAAGTGAAAATGCTTATGGTGAGAAGTCCTATGGTCAGAAGAGCGAGTGACTTGTGTCCATGAGGTCATTGACATTTCCTCTGTCTTCCTCTTCTTCCTGTTCTGCTTGACTTCAGTAAATAGTTACCATCCAAAATGATGTCAGAACTACTAATGAGACAAAACTATATGCGTTTCATTATTGTTGGATGATTCTAAAAACTAGCTGAGGAATAACAGTAGGGCTACATTTGGCAGTGTTGAATCAATATTGTTCCTTACATATTATAGCTTAATGATTTTTTTAAGTGACTATAAATGCTTTTTTTTTAACAATTTATAAATTATTCATATGTTGCACACAGATGGAAACACAGAAGATATAAAGATAGAAAAAATAATTTCTTGAAAAAAGGTGGAAGTATAAAATGTAGTAATATACATATTTAATGTATTTGTGACCCTGGGCCACAAAAAAAGTCGCATGGGTATATTTGTAGTAATAGCCAACAATATATTGTATGGGTCAAAATTATCGATTTTTCTTTTATGCCAAAAATCATTAGGGTATTAAGTAAAGATCATGTTCCAAATTTCCTACCGTAAATATATCAAAACTTAATTTTTGATTAGTAATATGCATTGCTAAGAACTTCATTTGGACATCTTTAAAGGTGATTTTCTCAATATTTAGATTTTTTTGTACCCTCAGATTCCAGATTTTCAAATAGTTGTATCGCAGCCAAATATTGTCCTATCCTAGCAAAGCATACATCAATGGAAAGCTTATTTATTCAGCTTTCAGATGTTTTTATTTTAATTTCTAATTATTTTAAATAATAAATTGACCCTTATGACTGGTTTTGTGGTCCAGGGTCTCATATACAGTACCATCCATAAGTTTGGCTTGCTAAGATGTTTTTAAAAACAATAAATACTTTTGTTTGGCATTAAATTCAAATGTGGTGATAAAAACATTTATAATTTTACAAATAAATGCAGATTAATGAAAATAAATTTATTAAATTATACACACACATACACACATGTATGTACATATAATAGCAATGATATTATTATATTTAAATTGCAATAATATGAGGACATGCATTTCTATTTTTACAAATAAATGCTGATCATTGAACTGTCATTGAAGTAATTAAAGAATTGATATTTAAAAAAAAATATATATAATGGTTTCCACAAAAATATTAAGCAGCACAGCTCTTTGCAACATTGATAATAATAAAAAAAAATCCTAAATTGCAATAATATTTCAGTTGCAATAATGATACTATATTTAAAGTGTAATGCTATTTCACAATATTACAATTTTTGCTGTATTTTTTATTAAATGAATGCAGTCTTGGTGAGCTTAACAGACTTTCAGAAATGCAAAAGCCTTACCTACCCCAAACTTTTAAATGGTAGTGTATATGATTTCATATGTTAAATAAAGGTAATAAATGGTAATTAATTCAGACCTTATTTAACCCTGATCATAGCCTGATTAAACCATTAAACACTTTTCTCTCTTGTGTGTTTGCAGAACCGACAGATGATTTTGTCCAAACAGATCACCACTAAAGAGCCAGTGAAAGGTGTGCTGATGTCCTACACGCTGATGGACTTGCGTATTCCCCTGTCGTATGAGGTCAGCCTCACTCCCATAACCAGCTTCGGCACCGGAAACACAGTCACGCGCACCATTCAGTACTCAGAGCGTAAGTCACCTTCCAGTTACACACCATACAGTATGCAAGATCTCCGTTGTCAACTGGCTACTCCTATCCATTTATTTTTTATCTTAAAGTTACCCTTTTAAGGAGGCAGTATAACATTTTGGAGGAATTTAGATTTTTTTTAATTTTATATGGGCAAGTGCAAAGCATAGCTGGGCTGGTTGTGGAATGGGAATCAGAGTCAGAGTTGTTCAAATCCTTATGATTCCCATCAGCAGAGGCCATGCATTTCAAATGTGAGGTTTCACTTTTGGGATTATGGTAAATTGAGATGTCAAATGTGTGGCAGTCATGGTGTGGAGAGTTTGCTGATGGCTACAGAACAGGCTAGCAGTTTCAGCACCAGAGCCGAGTCTGGATCTCAGAAAGCGCTGATAGAATCTAATCCCATTGGATAGTCGTTCAATCTTCAACTCCCAATCTCAGTATTACTCTAACCAGACCAGCCTCTAAAAAATGACCAACCTCTAGAATAAATGGACTGCTGGAAGACATGAAACCCTTCTTCTCTGATGTCAAGGCGATATACACAAAAGTTTGTTCCAGTCTTCTAATTTGATTGGCCGAGTTTTATTTATTAAATATAATACAGGTGCATCTCAATAAATTAGAATGTCGTGGAAAAGTTCATTTATTTCAGTAATTCAACTCAAATTGTGAAACTTGTGTATTAAATAAATTCAATGCACACAGACTGAAGTAGTTTAAATCTTTGGTTCTTTTAATTGTGATGATTTTGGCTCACATTTAACAAAAACCCACCAATTCGCTATCTCAACAAATTAGAATACTTCATAAGACCAATAAAAAAAACAGTTTTAGTGAATTGTTGGCCTTCTGGAAAGTATGTTAATTTACTGTACATGTACTCAATACTTGGTAGGGGCTCCTTTTGCTTTAATTACTGCCTCAATTTGGCGTGGCATGGAGGTGATCTATGTATATGCATAAATACTTTATTTACATTGACGTGTTTGGTTAAATATATGTAAATAAATGTTATTTACTGCTGTTATTATTATTTTTTCATTTTTTATTGTTCATTCAAATATTTGGTAAGATATATGTAAGTATATATAAGTAAATGCAATTTTTTTTAAATAATTTTTTTAAACAATTATAAAGTAATTTTTAATTTAAAGTAATTATTTTATTCTTTTATATTAAAATATTCTGTAAAATATAAGTAGGTAAATATTATTTATTGCTTTATTATTAATTATGCTATTTAGTATACATCATGTTGTTTTATAGAATGGAAAAGTATTTATTAAGTGAAAAAACTTAATAGAAAATATGCATTTTTTCTTTTTCTTTCTCTCTTTTATGCGTATTGTATTACTTGCATTGAACCTTGTTCTCATTTGGAACATTTTTGGCTAATTTATTTTGTTTAAAAATAATAAATTAATAATTTGGTTAAAATAACAGTTCAGAATTATGGAATAAAAAAAAAATCAACGCTATTTTAGAGCAGATACATAAATATACACTATTTAAGGTAATTTTTTAGGTAAATATTTAAAGTTTTCTCTGTATAATTTTGCACTTCTATCTCCCAGCCTTGTTTGATGTGTATACATTGATCTCATTTGTTGTGTTAATTGATCCATAAGAAGGCCCTGCAGTCACTGTTTTTTCTCATTTCTTTTCTTTTGCAGCCTACACTTACCCAAGACCTTCAGGTGAGACAGTCCTGTACTTTTTCTTTCTCTTTCTCTCTCCTCTGAACCGTCTTCCCATCTCACGCTTGCCCTGCCTTTCAGTTCTTCCCAATTAAATTCAACACAGTTCTTCTGGCAGCGTAAGCACAGAGCTTTGCCAAAGAGGTACAAAGAAAAAAAACAAAACATAAATTAAAACAGACTGGAGATCAGCAGAGTATATTGAAGAGCCGAATGCATGCGGACGGAAGAAAATGGTGATTTCAAACCACAACTCGGAAATCGTGCATTCTTCTCCATTCAATGTCTTCTCTCACACTTGGAAAATGAGTTAATCAGCCATTTAAAGTGTGAATGGAGACGTTCTGGGTGACTAACTACAGTATTCTGTATTCTGTGTTTGTTAAATGAGGGTAATCGCTGTGAACGCTGCAATATGCTGAGAGTACTCCAGTACTCCAGAGGAACCTGTCGAGAGGCCTCCTTACATTAAACACGCCTGAGAAACCCTGCAGACCTTCTCCTCAGATCTGCTCATCAGCATTAGGCCTGAAACATACTTTATGCAAGTACGAAAACGCAGGTGTGGATGCTTAGCCATGCTAAACAGACTTAGCTGCATTCTTGCGCTACTGTGGCAGAAATGTCAGCTGCACAAGACCCAAGTTCCTAAGATTTTCCATTTTCAATGCAACTTAATGGACAATATTTGAGATTAATGTCCTCCTGTTGCCATTCGAATAAGCCCTGCTCGTGGTCATGGCAAGAACAGAGACTACGTTCTCAGAGTCTTTAAAGTTTATTGCAAGTAGACACACTTATAAACTGTGCTTCTTCTGCAGTGTTATAAAATTCAAGGATATTACTAAAGAAATATTACCTTTTGTAAAATAAATTAGAGTGCTTAAGGTCACACTATACATGTGGAAAACGCTCTTATATACTGTGGCTCTCACATAATGGAATACAATCGAAGGAAATATTATTAAATCATTATAGGTTCAAGGGTAAAATAACATAGCCTCTGATTTATAGAGTTGTTAGCTGCTTAAAAGCTTACGTTTTAGAAAAGAGAGCGTAAACAAGGTTACACAGCATGTGGAAAACTCAAAATTCACACATGGTGAATGACAGTTAAAGAATAAGAGGATAGTTTGAAGGGGAAATCACTATAAGTATACAGTTCGTTTGGTGCTCACCTGAGACCCTTTAACTGCTATAGAGCCCCTTTCAGCAATGCTAATGCATTGCGCTTTAACATTTTTATTATTCAGTTGCGACATTCTAAGGTATGTTACTTCTTAATAAAAACTGTCGTCTTTAGCAGTGGCGAATAACACTACGTTCAACGGATGTTGATGTCTTTTACTTCTCTCGTATCACACCACTGCGTTCTCTAAATCAGTGCTTCCCAACCCCGGTCCTGGAGGCACCCCAACACTGCACAATTTGCATGTCTCCTTTCTCTGACACACCAGTTTCAGGTCTTGGAGTCTCTACTAATCAGCTGATGACCTGAATCAGGTGTGTTTGATTAAGGAGACATGCAAAACGTGCAGTGTTGGGGTGCCTCCAGGACCAGGGTTGGGAACCACTGCTCTAAATAATAAAATATTGAACTCAATATTTTCTGTCTAATTATTTACTTATTTGGCAAGTAGCTGTGCAATAAGCAGGGTCCTGATCGCTCTGTTAGGGTTTATTCTGCGAGAACAACCATCTGTATGTATACATTATCGCTTATGTAACACATTCTTGCATTTATGAACTGAAGGTGGATCTTGATTCCCTCTCATGTTTTTGTGTGTAGATCACGTGTGCGGGTTTGAGGACATTAGGATATGTGGGTTCACTCAAGACCGCAGTGATGTGTTTGACTGGACCAGACAGAACCACCTCACACAGAACCCCAAACGGTCGGTTAATACAGGGCCGGACACAGACAGGAGTGGGACGAAAGAAGGTAAAAATGCACAGCAACACACACCAAAGAGGACTATTAAAATCTAAAGAGAAACTCTTTTGTATTCAGTTCAAATGTATTTTATAGCAATTTTCAAACTCCAAAATCATCCCAAAGTACTTTTTATAGAGAATTTCGCCAGTCAAGAAACTCCATAGAAAGATGCTCCTGTATTCTTGAAATCGTGCACAACAAAAGCACATTTGTAAAACCACATCATTTTATTTCTTAAACAAAAACTATGACTGTCTGACCAATCTTGAGAAAGCAGATTTTAATTTTATTTATTTTAATTTATTTTAATTTTATTTAATTTTATTTTTTATTTTATTTTATTTTATTTTATTTTATTTTATTTTATTTTATTTTATTTTATTTTATTTTATTTTATTTTATTTTATTTTATTTTATTTTATTTTATTTTATTTTATTTTATTTTATTTTATTTTATTTTATTTTATTTTATTTTATTTTATTTTTCCGTATGTATTATTATTATTTATTTTGTGAAAGCTTCTGCCCTTTGAAAAACCTTGTGTTAACTCATTTTATACTTTCCATCTACAATAAAGGTTACTACATGTATATTGAGACGTCGCGGCCACGACAGGCCGGGGATCGAGCTCGTCTTCTCTCTCCATTGTACAATGTTACGGCAGCCCGAGGACCAACAGGGACCACCAGAACCCCCTACTGTGTCTCCTTCTACTACCACATGAACGGAAAACATATTGGTGAGCCTTTAACTCTGGTTTGAATTAACACTCTGAGAAAGACAAAAACATTTAAATTCTTGACTTAAAGTCAATGTTTGAAATCTGTTTTACTTTGGTTAACTGATTTTTTTACTGTTGTGCTCATGGAGAATTGATTGAATAGTGGAAAGTAGTCTCTATATGACTGGTTGGAGGCTGGATGATGTAGTTTCCCTGAAAAATCTGAGTTTGGTTTGTCTGAAAGTGTCCTCCTCTACTGCAGCATTGAGCTGAATCTGTCAGGGAAAGTACGGTGCTTTATGAGTAGTTCACTAGAAGGTCAAAGACAATGAAGGACACAGACAGTCAGAGAGAGAAGTGATGTCATCCACACATCCATTACTTATTTATCGTGACTGTTAAAACATTAAGCTTTGTTTCAAAGTGACATCTGTCTATTCTCTCAGCTCCAAGCAGTCTTGTGTGTGTGTGTGTGTGTGTGTGTTTCTTCCTGGCACATTTAAGCTGATCAAGCACATCATTCAGTGCCACACTGTAGTAATTCTAAGAGAAAGTACATAGCACAACAATATCGGATATAATAGTCAATTTGTAATTAGAACAACAATTTTATATACACTACCATTCAAAAGTTTTAGGCCAGTAAAATTTTTGCATTAAATTGATCAAAAGTTACAGTAAAGGCATTTCAAATGTTACAAATGATTCTGTTTTGTAAATCAATTCTGTTCAAACTTTTTATTAAAGAATCCAGGAAGAAAGTATCATGGTTTTCACTAACTATTATATATAATTATTTTTAACATTAAAAATCATGAAAAAAATCAGCATATTACAATTTCTGAAGGGTCTATACATATCAAATTATAATTAAATTAAAAAAGGTTGTTTTAAATTGTAATAATATTTCATAACATTACAATGTTTGACTGAATTTTTATAAAAATTGCAGTGTTGATGAGCATAAGATACCTTTTCATCTTAACAACTCACAACAATATCGGATATAATAGTCAATTTGTAATTAGATTAACAATTTTATATACACTACCATTCAAAAGTTTTAGGCCAGTAAAATTTTTGCATTAAATTGATCAAAAGTTACAGTAAAGGCATTTCAAATGTTACAAATGATTTTGTAAATCAATTCTGTTCAAACTTTTTATTAAAGAATCCAGGAAGAAAGTATCATGGTTTTCACTAACTATTATATATAATTATTTTTAACATTAAAAATCATGAAAAAAATCAGCATATTACAATTTCTGAAGGGTCTATACATATCAAATTATAATTAAATTAAAAAAGGTTGTTTTAAATTGTAATAATATTTCATAACATTACAATGTTTGACTGAATTTTTATAAAAATTGCAGTGTTGATGAGCATAAGATACCTTTTCATCTTAACAACTCCAAACTTTGGATCGATAATGTACAGTATATACTTTCCTTGTTTTATACTATGTTATATAGTATAAGTATATATACATAGTCAAAATGATTTATCTTGCTCATCTTCCATCTTGGGTGGATTTTGACCTTTTCATCTTAACAACTCCAAACTTTGGATCGATAATGTACAGTATATACTTTCCTTGTTTTATACTATGTTATATAGTATAAGTATATATATACATAGTCAAAATGATTTATCTTGCTCATCTTCCATCTTGGGTGGATTTTTTTTTTCACTCGTCACAATGCATTATGGTATCATCTTCTATGTTAAGGAAACATGCAATGCTGCCTTAGGGACCTTTCACATAGGACACGCTCTAGCATCAGTCTGCGCGACATTTTCATTGTTGTTTAATGGCTACATGTGCTAAGTGGGCATCTGTGACTGTTGCCACTTCATGTCAGGTTAAATCAAGTTCATCTTTTAAAAATGTGCCTTGAGACCTTGTGGTCCATTCCTCTGCACTGTGTTTGGCTGCTTTTCCAAAAGTAGGTATCTTAAAGTGACAGTCCACCCAAAAATGAAATTTCTGTCACTGTGTACTCCCACTCATGTTGTTCCAAACCTGTATGGCTTTCTTTTTTCTGCTGGACACAAAGGAATATATTTTGAGGAATATTGGTAACCAAACAGTTTTGGTTCTCATTGACTTCCATTGTGTTTTCCATCTATACATTTAAAGTAAATGGGATCCAAAACCATTTAGTTCTGTCATGACAACTCTCAGAGGGATTGGCATGGTAATGTACATGACAATGTTAATGCATTTGGTCTTGGCGGAATAGATCTGCTACGCTGCTACGCAAGTACCGAGACTTGCTACTGCCAATACATCCACAACATGCTACTGTGAGCATGTAAGAAATATTGCTGCTGCAAATATAACATGAAATAACCCCCATATAGCATACGTAAAACACCTCATAGCAGATCTATGCAGGTGGAGCTGGGGAAGGTGGAGGGTTTCTGAAGCAAGCTGCAACTGCTACGGCAAGCACTAGTCATATATTTGAATGTTGAGCAGCGAGCTCATTGGCTACCGATACAAGAGAGAACCAATCAGCTGTGCCATGTGATGTGTCATTAGGTCAGATTGAGTTAGACCTATCAGACTGCGCCATCTAGAGTTTCATGCCAGAAATCCGTATTTATCAACATTCTTCAAATACCTCCTTTTGTGTCCCACAGAAGAAAGAAACCCATATTAGTTATAAGTAAACAATTTTCATTTTTGGCTGGAATATATCTTTAAGGTATCTTTTTTTTTTTTTTTTTTTTTTTGGGTGGACTATCCCTTTAAAAAGCAAACCCATGCAAGCCTTACAGTTGCACCTAAAATGTGTTCTAATTAGGCAGTAGACTATGTTTGGGAGCAGAACCTGCGTGTGAAATGTGTTTGTTTATGCAGGGTGCTATATATGTGTGGGTGGCAGGGATTTACTATAGTTTGAGGACAAAAATGTCCCCAGAAATGAGCTAAATCTGACAAAAGCTCTCTTTTGGGACCTCAAAGGCATAAATGACTCATAAACGCAGCAAATAATGTTGTTCTAAAAATGCACCGTGCACAGTAATTTATGGGTGTTCCTGATGGGATTCAAAGATCTGTGACTATCTGGCAACCACCTGTAGCACACACTCTAGCACACACTCGCACACGCAGACTTGAATTGCTCATTAATGTAAGGACTTCATCACACAAAACTCCTCCAACCAAAGTTTCGACAGCAGACCAAAAGTTTTTTCTGCTGTTGTTGTTTTCTAATTTTTCAGCTTGACAAATAAAGTAACCGAACTTCCTGTTTCCCCTCACTTTTTATCTGCACTCTCTCTTCAAACTTTATCAGCCCATTAACGGCTCATAAATATTGCTTCTCTCTCTCTTTCTCCTCTTCTGCCCGTCGCTCTCTTTGGCTGCCTGTCTGCTTTGCTTTCACTCCACCGCGTTCTCTTTACCTGTGCGCTGTCTCCTGTTCTAATGAGACGAGGCCGTCTAATTATTTGCCAGTTGCCACTCATGACACGGGCTGGGCTCGCGGTGGGGGGCGGCTGGTGAACACACAACGCGCTTCAATCTGTTCGGCTTTCCGAAGGCATTTTGGATTCCCTGCTGCAGGCCTGCACTGTATATTTCAAAGGACATGTTTTATTAATTCCATTGCTATTTAGGAGTCGGAGAGGACAGCAGGTCCTTAATGAAAATTAAAATTGAAAGGCGGACCACATTAATCACGATCAAAATCACCCTAGGGTGCACATGCACATAACCTCATACTCAAGCTGTCTGCTAAAGCTCTCTAACTCATCATATTTGTCTTTGTCTGCTTTAAAATGAGAGTAGGCGGTTTAGTGGTGTTTCTGTTTGCTATTAGAGTATTGTAGTGCTAGTATAAACTACTTCCTTTGACTTTTCGTTTACATCTGTGTGCTAAAATCAAATCACAGTAACCAGAGAAGATGAACTGTATTCCAAAATGTAGTGAGCTGGACACTTTTGGAGTATTTTAGTTTTGTTTACTTGAGTAGTAAACAAGAAAACAGTATCTGTGTCATAAAGCAATTTTAATATTATTTATAATATTTATAAAATTTTAAATGAACTTTTATTGTTTTTATTTTCAGTTTCAGTGTTAGTAATTTTGTGCTTTTTTCCAATTTTATTAATTTGGGGGGTTTAAAATCTATCTATGTATGTATGTATGTATGCTTGTATGTTTGTTTTAATTTAAATAATTGAAGTATTAAACTTATTTTATTTCAGATAGTTGCCTAAGCAAAATTTCTTTCTTTCTTTCTTTCTTTCTTTCTTTCTTTCTTTCTTTCAATTTTAATTAATGAAAATAATATTGAATTCTTTATCATTTTTTATGTGCATGTGTGTGTAAAATATATAATTCACAACTTCATGCAATTTCATCTAGAAAGTGTTCAGATCAATTCAATTCAGTTATTTATAATAAATAATAAATAATCATTCGGAAGCAAAAACTCAATAACGCAGTTTAGTATGATTAAAGTTAATATAATAAAACGGATAGTTCCGGTCCTTGATTCTGATTGGTTGAATTCTAAGCTGTTGTAAATTGTTGTTGCAACCACAACTGTTTCTGAGGAACTACATTTGTAGTTTGTTTAAAGAGTTTTTATCTGTTCTACACGTGGCTGGTGGCAGTGATCTGCTATAGGTTGAATGTTGGCGTGATTTCTGCTGATTAAGGCCGGTGTACACTAATCTGCTAATCATTAGTCTGTGCAGTGGCATGTGGGTGGCACTGTGGGCACAGATGCTAAACTGAGAGGGAGGCACAGCTGGCTCGACTCTCATTACATGAGACGCCCTACTGAGAGACAGACGTCCCTGTTAGCAATCTTAATGTGTAGGACTGTGTTAGCCGCTCTACGCTGGCCGTAAATTACAACCTCATTAGCAGAATGAGAGTTTAGACTTTTATTTGCACCACTGTGCTTGCATTAGATTTGATTACATCCCAATTAGCAATTGAAGAGATTAGCTCTGCGTCGGTTATGCCACACTAGCACTGCATTCAACAGAGCTA